AATTATTCTGGAGGCAAGATATATAATGCAAGTAATGATGGTGTGATTTAGAATATTTCAGTGACTGCTGGTCGTACGAAACCTCTACATGTTCCTTCTTTTGCTCATTTTTTTTATGTTCTCTTTCTCTCTCATGCTAACACACAGAGAATATAAAAAGGTTTTATTTATTTATTTTCTCCAGTAAGAATCTTTTTTGGTCACCCATGACTCAGCCAAGCCTGCATTATTGAGCCCCTTTTAGTTTTCTCTTGTTGAGGAATCTATCTAGTAATAACTGGCTATGCGATTTTTTTTCAGTTTAATCCGGGCACTGAGAATTCAGTCATCTGACTGTGCTGGGTCAACTGGTCAAGTAGTGTGACTATTTGTACTGTACTGAACCTCTTGTTTAGTGACGCTACGACGTTTTCTTTGACCAGGGATGGGGGCAGCTAGCTTCAACGATCTCTGATCTTTTCACACTGAAATGAATTCGCCCATCACGCACGCACCCGTCCCTGTTCCCTCTCTTCTACGTATTGCCATCTGCAACATTTTTCTGTCTACACTTTGTGCAGTTCAATCTGACTTGACAACTTACAAAAATAGTAGTAAAACGCATGCTGAGAACGAAGTGCCCGTCTGAATTTTTTTTCTATGCCGGGGTACGTATACCTGCCTGATGAAGGACAATGTTGCCACGCGCGTATAGCATTGTCACAAATAACCACGCGCCCAGCCGATTGGTTAACCGGTGCTTACTAGGCCCGGGGCATTTTTTATCGTCATCACTTTTACACCAGCACGGGGTTCCTGTGCCAAAAATTGACGGCCGTCCAGTCCAAAAGAACAGCTGGGGCCCCAGCACACACGCAGCTCCATGTCGGCATGTCGACATTCTGCATCTGGCACATCAGAGGCCGCCCGGCCTTTTCTCCTTTTCCCTGTGGTTCCTTGTGGCCGATCCAGCGATTTGCAGGCCCGCGACAGCAGCCACGTCGAGAAATCTTGCGCAAAGCAACAGCGGAATTGGAGAGTGTCCCCAGTGCCTTGCCCCGTGATGGCGACGGCGACGCCCGCACGATACTGCGTGCGCTGGCCGGACCTGGCCACCGGCTTCATTTGCAGCTGACGGCGACGCGCCCGGCCGGGCAGCAACAAAATAGGCACCCATCACTCATAGCCCGTTGATGAAACCACCGTCCACCGGATGGTATAATCAGATGTTTCTTTCGCTTTTTAAAACAAAACCTTGGGCCGGAAAGGATCCTGTACTCTACCTGTTCAAATTTATGTGGGTGCCGTTTAAATTATGGGGGAGTGAGTGAAACGAGCACAGAAGATTGACCAGGCAAAAACTGATAAAACAATAGACAATTATTGACATCGATAACATGAAACCTACCCCCACTTAATTAAGGTGGTTGATCACTTGAATTGCCCTGATCTATCCTTTATTTTTTTAAAAGATTTAAAAATGAGCCAATTAGAAATGGTGCCACCGGTTCATACTGTTGGTAAGAGCTTGATGGCGAAGGATTCTTTTTTATCATGAAAGGTTCCATCAAAATGTATTGGGCGTCAAAGAAAGCGGCATTGACAAGGCCATACCGTAGGTATGATGTATAAGCACTCTATTGAGGCCTTTTTTTTAAAAAAAGAAATGCTATTTTGCAGAAAGGGCCATGTAACATATGTATTTATATATGTCCTCGATTATCTTGTATTTTTACGCTAGTCCTTGAATTGCACACTCCAAGCTATACCTTCTGAAGGGCATCATAATGCTTGAGGGAAATGGAATGAAGGGAGAACAAGAATTGCAACCAGCAGCTACCAGTAGTAGTTACATAAAAAAGAAATACAAGGGACCGAGCACTAATTGCTCAGTTCGTAATGGGTGTAGCCAAGTGACACGCTCACCCAAAGCTTTAACAGTTGGTGTTGGTTTAGGTGAACATCGGAGTCCCGAGCACTATTCCAGATCGAGGGGGAAATGGCTACCGCCCTGTTCGGATGGCTAAAAAAACAGCTGATGCTTCACTGAAACGGTACGGCTGATAAGTTCCAGCGAATAGGGCCTACAGCTTAAAAAAAGGTTAATAAAGTGTGGTAAGGGTGAAACTTCGAAAATGTTTGACTTGGGGACTTGGGGTAGGGCTTCCATGACAGACCATGACATGTGATGGGGAAGTATCAATAACTTTCACTGAGCCGTGTCTAATCCGGCACCGAGGAGTAGAACAGAGACGAAGCAATGAGGAAGTATCATTGTTCTTCCAGAAATCACAACTCAACGTCAAACAGTTGCATCTGCTTTGAATTGTTAACGTCGTCAATCACCGGTCGGTTTAAGCATAATAATCATGTCCAAATCTGCAATGAAAATGTTTAGTTTTTTTTTTGTTGCGAGATCACTATTTTGTTCCTTGTCAGATTTATAAGGCTCTGAACCTGAACTACTCCCACTCCTCTCGGTTGGATACTTGGATTGTGACTGTCATACTAGTCTAAGGTGAAACTGCTCCACCATCTAAAATGTACTCCATTCTCTGGTATGCAAGTAGCTCTTCTTAAAGACCTGAAACAGATGAATCTCCTCACTCCACCAAGCTCATACAGACTTCAGGTTACAAGCAACTCAAAACCCATTGGATCAGCAGTTGTTGTTGTTGAGTACCTATCCCCCGCAACACTCGATCCGATAATTCCCAGGTAATCATGCACCACACCAGTGGCTTTATCGCACTAGTTGCATGGCACGCCTAAAAAAAGTGGCCAATCAGCGATCCGCGGCAGACACGCCACGCTTCATCACACGACAAGACACGGGGGAAAAAGCAAGCAGGGGACTCTCCACGCAAATTGATTGGCCGGTTTCTTTCGAGTAAATTAAGCTCCTGATTGCAATTTGGATCTCAGAGAGAGAGAGAGAGAGAGAGAGAGAGCCTTCGCCACAAACCCACAGGCCGCACGCACGCAAGGCACCACCAGTCGGGGGCAGTGGCGCCCCTGATTTGTTTGGTGATGAACTGATGGGCTGATGGGTGAGCGTCAGAGAGAGCCAGACAGGGGTGGAGGCAGCAGCAGCACCAAAAGACCAGGAGCCAACCACCAATCAGTGGCGTGCAGGAACTCGTCGAGCCGGATGTTGACGTGCGAGGAGCCAAAACCAGCGGGCCGGTGAGCGGAAAAGCGGAAGAAATCAAAGGCCAAGTGGGTGGTGGTTTGGTTGGACCCATGAGGCCCAAGTTTGCCCGCCGCAACGGTACTGCTATTAGCACTATTGCAGGGGCCGGGGCACACCACCGGGACCCGGTTTTGCTTGCTCCGACAAGTCTGTTCGTTTGAGCTGTGACTTATCGTAAACGATCATAAATTTTTAGTCGGAACAATATTTTTCTCTCACACAAACCAGACAACAGTACTTCTTTACGAACCAGCAACGATATGAAACAGCCAACCGAACAGCCGTGGGCGGCGGTGCAACTTGGGCCATTTGCCTAAACCCCCACGGCGCCTTCTGGAGAAAGAGAGCGCTACGCGTGCCAAATGATTTCTCGCGGCGTCGAATAATTCATTCACCAAAGGAACCATGCGTGCAAAGCGTAGCTAGAATTTCTAAATGCGAATCTAGGGGGCGTAGGTTAGGCACTAGCATTTACTAGATTGTAAGTAAAAGGTGTGCATGTACATTGAGCATTTTTTTGGTAAAAGACACCAAGGTTATTTGTTCCCTTCTTAAAAATATTTTATTGAAAATGAATATAAATGTGGTCAGATATGCTCTCTCTCTGTCCGAAGAATAGATCAGTTTTCTAGATCTATTGTAAGTCAAGCTATTTTACGTTTCAACAACTTTATTATATAAAAAAGAATACCTATGACAATAGATAAATACACTTTAAAATATATTCCATGGTATCTTTAACAATACCAAATTTGTATTATAAATAATATAGTTTCTTTTTCTGGAATTTTGGTTAAACTTAAGGTAATTTAACTTAGAACAACTTATTTGAGGTAGAGGGACTCCCCCCCCCTCCCTTATGCATTGTTAAGGTTTTCGTATGAAAGATTTAAAAAACAATATGTTCAATATTAGTTTATGTACTATAATTATGCACGCTCTGGCTACACACTCTAGTATGTTTAGAAAAGATTTCAGTCAAACCTCAAAGCACTGCAAGCATAAATAAATTTAAATCATTTAGTGTTAAAATATGTTAGTTATAAATTTGTTTTAAAATGCTTTCAAAATCTCATGAAAATTGAAATGATTAATAATATATTCTAGAAAGAACTAGTGGTCCAATGTCTATATTGAAGACCGTGTAAAATCAAATGAGACGGGCATATTTTACCAAATGGATTATATACGGGTGGTACTCAAGCAGTCAAGCTACACATCTACTTCATAAATATCTGCTTAATTCCCCTGCTTAATTGCTTATCACAATCTTCACCCACATGAATCGCTAGAAGAACTGTGGCAGGAATGTGAAGAAAGTTGAAACCACACCAAGGTTTTCTTATCACAGCGGCAGTATATTCTCCAGTTCACTTGTAATAAGTTGTAACAAAAGCCCTCAAAGTTGTGCTGAAAAATCCACTTATCAAAAAAAAAATTGCTGAAAACTTGTTGAACCGCCCAATGCAAAAAGCAAAACATGGCTCCACTTGGGCATAAAAAGATGTGAGGGGTTACTTTAAAGTTTAAACCCCACAAATAAACCGAGGACCAAAATGAGAAATCCCACCTTCCCCCCTTCCGTCTCCCTCCAAAATATAAAGCCCCTCGCTCTCGTCTTCCCCGCACTCCAGTTCCTTCCTTTCGCAACCAGAAAAGAGAAAGCAGAGCACCAATTCGCCGAGGAAACAGACACAGAGCCAAGGAGAAATGGCGCACTACCACCACCCCGTCTCCACGGAGGCCTACGAAGACCTCGAGGCCGGCTTCTCCGGCCACTCCTCCTCCTCCCCTGAAGCCGGCAGCCTCGCCGAGGCGGCCCGGCCGCATGTTCTGCGACCCCTGCGACGACGCCGACGAGCTCCACGGCCACCACCACTACCTCGACATCTGCTTCCGCTGCCGGAAACTCCTTTCCGGCAACAGAGACATCTTCATGTACAGGTAAACAACAGCACCACCAATCTAGAATATCCAGGGGGGCTTGAGATCTCCATGGCATGGAGGAAGGAAGGAATGGTTCGCTGACGGCGGTGTGGCTGTTTTTGTTATCGCAGAGGTGACATGCCGTTCTGCAGCGAGGAGTGCCGGCAGGAGCAGATCGAGATCGACGAGGCGAGGGAGCAGCGGCTGAAGCAGACGGGGCTGGCCGAGCAGCAGCGGCAACGGCAGCTGAAGCAGAGCCCCCAGAGGATCCCCATCTGGGCGTGGTGATGACAAATTTTTGGGCACCGGGAAACGAACGAACGTAGTAGGATTTAGCTCCACCTCAAGAACAAGAAGAACCCCAAGCAAGGACGATGATGCGTGTGGATCGCCGCCGGCTCGACGGAGGAGAAGGACACGGCACAGGCCGGCTGCGCCTTTTACTTCGTTGGTTGACGAAACCGATCGAATGACCTCCTCCTCTTGATCTCCGAAAGATGGAGATGGAAGGGTTTGGTTTGAGCGTGAGTTTGCACGGGTTCTGTTCCTCTTGCACGGTTGCACGAGTGAAAAGGTGTGCGTGCTGCGTGTGGGATTGCCGTGTAACCTGTCTATACGTGCTAGTATGAAACAAGTGAGAGGCCTAAGAAGTCCTCGAATTTCTCGTCAGTTTTCAGCTGTCTTCCGCTGCTCCTTCCTCTGAGCTAGTGATTTCTCGCTTAGATGTCTTCTTGCTTACCGCCACGGCAGAATCATTTGTTTTGGTGTGAACTGTGAAGGAGAAAAATCATGCTTATGCTGCCTGAGCTGTTAATGCTTTTTTGGGGAGTTCTTTGTTAAAAAAGAGACAATTGGACTGAAATTACCATTATTTATTCAGTTGTTCCTGTCCCGTGAACAGACAATTCCCGTTGCAGGCTGCAGAAACCTCAACCGGGACTGCTTGTTGTTCGAGCAGCTGAGCAGAAAACTCAGAGAGAGAGAGAGAGAGAGTCCTGGGAGAAATTGTTTACTCCGTATTTATTATTAGTGCTGAAAAATTGGCCGTGAACTTGTGAGTATGCCATGACTGTTGCTCCCCACGAAAGAAAAGGAGCACGGAGGCAGTAATAAAGAAATGAAATCACAAAGCAAAGCCGAGCGTCATGTGTCGTCCATGAGGCATTGAGGCCTGCTTCCTGGAAGCTTACAAACCTGAGGTCACATCACTAATGGCCAGCGACAACGGTGATTTTTATACCCAAATTTTAGTGGAACCCCTCTAAAGCCCCTATGAATTTTTAGATAAATTTCTATAAGTTAGGTGGGGCTTGAGACTTCAGATCGAGCAACAGTCGGAGGTGTGTGTTGTTCAACCCCCTAAATTTTTTCCGGGATCCGCCGCTGGGTACAAGGACATAAGGGGGCTGTGCTCGTACGTACAATAGCCAATAGCACGCCGTCCATTATTACTTCTAGAGTGCCTGACCGTAGCGTACACAAAAGCATGTTGACACCGTTGCGTACCCCGGGCTAAACAAATCTTTCTCGACCAGGGCCGTAGATTTCTTCATCTCGCCCCTGCGAGTTGCCGTCCATGTGCCGCCCGGAATCCTTTGGGCAATCTAGGGCCTTAAACAAAGCACTCGGATTCCGCCCGCCACGTTACGCGGCCACGGCCTCGATCCTTCCATGCTCCACGACCGCGCGCACCGCAGCGCACCGTCTGCCGGCGTGCCGCCGTGTGTGCCCTTGGCGACCGTAGCTCGCAAGGAACACTCGCTGCGCTTCGCAAGCGGCATCTCGCCCGGTGCCGGTGGTTCGGGGGGCACCCACGCCGGCGTCGCACGTGTCGCGGCCGCGCGCCCATGCCTCCGCTCCGCATGCGCGTGCCAGGACGTCCTGGCGCCGCGCCGCGCCACCAGCCCCTGCCCCCCTCCGCTGTCTACACGCACAGAACCGCGCCAGCAGGGCACCACGCCATGCGCGCATGTGATGGTAGCCTGTGGATTCGTGTACGGCGATTGCTGCAGCCTGTACTACAGCGTTACGGTCTGGGTGGAACGCCAGGAAGAAGACGAACGCGTACGGGCACGAAAGCGGGCATGCCGCGGTGAAATCGCCCGCCTGCCTGTCCACCTCTCGGCGCGTTGGACGGGAGTGGGCTGTCGACCTCTTGGAGGTGCCAAAGTTTGAACGAGCCGAGGTGCGTGTCGCCACCGGTTTTTAATGGCGTCCTGGACGGTAAGGAAAACGATGTGCGCTGCTAGCAAAAGCTAGCCAGTTCTTGTCGCTTTGGAGAGGTAAAAGACGCGCGGTGAAGGCGACACGAATGTTTTTATCAGAGGAGAGATGTCCTCGTTCCGCCTTGCCGAGACAGTGGCCTCGGCAGGAGTAGAAATTTTGGGGTCGTGTACATGTGGAATCGCACTGTGGTTTCGATACTTTTTTTTTAGTTCGAGAAGACATTGACGTGGTCATCAGTTTGTCGTTTCACTGGAGGATGTCACGTTCACATATGAGCAGGGTCAAGCTGGCAATGCAAGCACGCATTGTTTGTTCCTTGTGGTGGTAGATCTTTCATTAGCATCCTTGCCCTTTGCTAAGTTGGCAGGAACGTGATGCAGTGCATCTAGCTAGTGGCCATAGATCTGTTCCGAAATAAGAAGAGAACAGAGCAAGAGAATACTACTAATTAGCGGCAAATTTAAGACAAGATCGAGTCTCTGCTTAATTTTAGCCACGTTGTCCTATTCATATCTCCGGCTCCCGGCGACCGTGAATTCCCAGCCGCTCCCTGTTCCTCGCTCTGGGCGGCTAAAAATGGCCGCGTCGGGGGCACTACTTGAACGTGGCCCGGCCACCCCGGAGAGTCCCGCAAGCTAGCCGAGCTCCTCGGGATTCCGGTGCCAGGCCCTCGCCCTCACGCGGCGGTGCTCCCTCTCTTCGTCCCCCAGCGACGCGCGCAGCAGCGACGCAGGCAGGCGGCATGAAGGGGGGCGGTGCCATGAAGCCGTCGTCCATGTTCTACGTCCACGAGGCGGACGTCGTCCAGATCCACCACTTCCTCGAGGAGTGCTCCCTCTGCGCCAAGTCGCTCTCCGGCGACATCTTCATGTACAGGTCGCCGCCGCGACCGTTCCTTTTTTTTTTTTTTGCGTATATCCAAGACAGATGCGTGCATGGATCGGCGGAGGATTAGTGGTTTGCGTGTGCAGAGGTGACACGCCGTTCTGCAGCGAGGAGTGCAGGCAGCAGCAGATCGAGGTGGACAGGGCGAAGCACCGGCGGAAGAAGCGCGCGGCGGCGCACGCGCTGACCGCACGCAGCAGGGAGCACCGGCACCACCACCACCACCACCACCACCATCACCATCAGCACCACCAGCAGCCGCAGCCGCAGCCGCGGAAGGCCGGCATGGACGCCAACCACCACCCGTGGGTCGACGCCGGGTTCGCCAGGGCGCCCGCGCTGCGCGTCTGAGCAAGAGGAACCCGCGCGCCTCACGCACACTTCCCTCCGCGCCGCGCGCGCCGCGGGGGACAGACATCCATCCTTCTCCGCGGGTTTCTGACGCGTGCTGCAGCAGGACGAATCCTTTGGGTTTTTAGGGATCGGTTGCATGCATGCACTAGTGCGTAAGTACGCGGCCGAGCGATTGGCTCGGGTTTTTGCTACTACAACTACATACACGTAGTACCCTGATCCAAGGCTAGAACTGTAGAGCCATGCTGCAACGACGCCTACTGACGGAGAGCCGTGGCCGTGCATGGATCAATGGCGTCTCTCCTCCACTTCCTTTGGGCCTCATATTTTGGCTGTAGTTCTTGCTTTCGTGGAATGAAATACGTATGGATTATCCTACCAGACTAGTATGTATTTCAGACTCTGAATGTATGCCTACAGGCTACATCTTATATTAGATTATTCCTGGGTGCTGCATATATTGCCTTTAGCTTGTCACTGAGGCGGCAGCACAAACTGTAAAAGATACGAGACAAAACCTTTGTGAAATACACGAAGGGCTAGAGAATATGTGAAGTGGATTTAGGCAGCAGAGCGATGATGCAATGTAATACTGGGAATGTATAAACAGCGGTGGCACTACAAATACAACTTCAAAATCTCAATCTTTTAACTGTCTCCGCTCTAGCCTCTAAATGTACCAAAAAGGTTCATACTTTGTTACGTTACCCCAAAATCTTAAAATTGCTAATTGGAGACTTTCAAGAGCCTCCACATTGCTTGAAAAGAAGATAAAATCCTAAAAGATTCTCACAAAAATCAGGAACATCTGGCAGAGCAAATTATGTGGATTCCTACCAAATAATTAAAATTCAACTAGATTCTGATGAGGAGCCGATGAGATTCACTTCTCCATCTGCACTATGAGCTCGGAGCTAAAAAAAAACGCTCATCATTGCTCCCCATTCAATCACTATTAGAATCAATTCTCTTATCCCCCAATTAGAATCACTCCACTGAAGAATTAAGAAGCTAAGCTAAAAAATCAGAAACGGAGCTCTGCCAAACTGGTCCTAAAAATTAACTAAATTTGCTACTAATAAGCATAACATAAACTAACCATCTAAAATATGCATACAAAACACCCCCTTGTATCATTATAAAAGACAACTAAATTTGCATCCACCTACATCATTATCAACCACAATGTAAATTTACCCGTTAATTTGAATAGCAGGAGGATTGCCGCTCGGGCGTTTTCACGTGTCCCGGCTTCGAAGTGAGGTGAGGTGCTGGTGATGAAGCGGATGTGCTACCTCGACGGGCAGACGAGGCCTTCTACGGTGTCCAAGGACGCCTACGACAACATCTTCGTCGACCAACTCAACCCCTGCATGCTGAGGCAATGCGACTGCTCTTTCCAGACCCACAAGAAGTGTGACCGAGGCGCCGCGCACGCCGGCGCGTCTGATCGCCGGTGATGGCTATGTAGTATGATTAGCGAGTGATAGTGATAATCTTCCTATGCTAGGGAGGGCAGAGCCGATTGTATAACACTAACACCCCGCTCTAGTGCGCCAGGTTCATGACGTGTCATTGTAACTTTCACTATTTCTCGATCTTAATACAAAGATGCACAAACATTTTGAGTATTCGAGAAAAAAAATAATAAAAATTAAAATGTCTCCCTCACATTTACTCCTCATTACCAACATGTGGTGTCAACATGTTTATAAAAAACAGGTGGTGACGAGATCATAACATATATGGTATGTTAAGCATCGGGATCAATGGTTCCTGACCGAAAGGACCCCGATCGACCCTCCAGGATCGTCCGGGGGCTTAGGGGCTATATCCATTTGGTACGCTCGCACGCGCACCTCCGACGAGGAAACCTGCCCGAGCCTGGGCACGCCGCAGCCCCCGCTCAGGGCTCGGGGGCTCACCCGAGCGTCAGGCTCCCGATCGACGACTCGCCCGAGCCCAGCCCTTGGTTCCTACCCGGCCTATGACGCTAGCCAAGGTCCAGGGGCAAGAAGACGCGCACCAAGCCGCCATGGCTCGGGGGCTCCCAGGCACCACACTCCGGGCACGGCCTTTCCGGCTGCTCCCGCGACAGGGTCACGCACGGGGTGTGACACAAGAAGACAAGTTTCCCTCGGCCTCCACGGACTTGGCGGCTTCCAAGCCCGCGCGTCAACCCTTAGAGCCGACCTCCTTCGCCAGCAAGAAGACTCCAGAAGGTCCACCTGGGGGAGGCGGTCCAAGACGACACAGCTTGACACGTAGAGTGTTAGAACAGAGTAGCCGGGCGACGTCCAAGGCTTCTTCGGCTCCACGACACGCTATTGTCCACATAGCGCCACTACAAGACCCTCTTGAATTCTGGCACATGTAGACCGTAGACACATCCCCGAACCGCCATGTACCCGACCTATCTCGGTATATAAGGGATGAGGTCGGACCTTAGAGGGGGGAGGACAATCCAAGACAGATCATTCCACTCCTCATCGATCCGCTCCGGCTCGGCACCGAGAGCAGAGCAACCCAGGGAGGGGCATCGAGAGCTCCTCCACCGCATCCGTCGTCTTCCTCATCTCCGACGAGGGGAAGGCTCCACCGGTGGCGAGGCGGCCTTAGGATTAGCACCGAGCTAAACCCCTACCAAATCTCTTTCTACACTCTGTAACCCCCGATTTTAGGCGCTCTTGAGTATAAGGATCATCAGCTGTTGGATGTACGGCATTGATCGGCACAAACCAGGATAAACCGTTGTGTTCCCTCTGTGATTCTTGTGTTCTTGAGTCCACCCGAGCCACCGAAGACACGTACTCTGACACCGACTCGAACAACAATGCTTGTCATGGTTTCGACCCCGCGACAGGTGGTATCAACATGAAAGAAGAATAACCATGAAGTAGGCCTATCTATGTTTCTAAATACCACTTCCACGCCATTATTAATACAACTATATTAGAAAACTAGCTCATATTAAACCCATATGTAGATCAAGCATACATGCATACATGAACCGTAAATATATATTTCTGTAATTTAAAAGTAATGAGAAATGCTCCTTAACGAATTAAAACATAATAACATTCATTTTAAATTATATTAGTACTCCATGGCAATAAAAGTATGTAGGCATATTGTCGCCACTAGCGTGAATACGCACAAGTATGGTATTCCATAGCATACGCTGTAGAAAGAACTAAAGCCGATGACAGATGTGGCTGGAGCCAGCGATGCAAACTCGCGAATGTTGGATCGACTAAGGCTAATTCTTAGGCAGAGAGCTAAAAATAGCTACCTGAGCATCTCTAAGAGACTCTCCATATCCTTTCTAAATACTAGGAATAGAGATTTTGGTAGAAAACTACCTCCAATAGCTTTTTTAAATGGTCATCCAAATATAGCCATCTTCTATTCCGGTTTTTTCGCTAGTTAAAAATAGAAGACGAGAACGCCTCTTTAGAGTGCGCACGAGATATAGAAAAGCGGTTAGAGAGTGAAAAGATATAGAAAATGATTTTTATGCAAATGACTCTTCAAATGATGATTCAGAGAGTGAGATTTAGAAAGGCTCTTAGAGATGCTCTAAGAATTAGCCACCTAACTATTAGCTTGTACATGTTTAGATTCCCGGTTAATGGAAGCATACATCTTAGCGAGATGAACTATTAGTTCCTGTTAGCAAATTGCGTTTGGTTAATGGACTAACAGTAGTTAAAGACTCGGAGAAAAATTAGTCCACTCATTAGCCATCGTGTTTGAATAGATTAGAGCTAATTTTTAACTGCTAGTTGTTAGCCTGTGATCTAAACAGGCCCTAATCCCGTAGATGGCATCGCTGTTGCGTGCTGCGGAATAAGATCCTCAGCGAGATTTTCCCGCCTGATTTCCCGGCATCTTGCCTGGCTCGCCCGACAGCAAAAAGGAGATGCATATTGCCATATTCTCGTGAGGCAGTGCACCTCCGCCGCTACTAGCTTGATCGCATCCATGATTCTCCGCCTTTCATGTGTTTTTTTCTAACCGCCACAAATTTCTTTAACTCTTGATGGCGACCTGCTGTTCAACACTCCTTCGATCAGATCGTCTCTTCACAGAGAAGCCAGAGCTCTGACTCCGAGCTCAAGCTCCAAAGCCGAGCCGTGCCATGGAAGATGGAACCATGGGGGTCCGCCCGTGACCGTCCACCGGTGTGTCCCCCCAGCGCGAACCCCGGGCCGTTTGGAATCCAGGAGACCAGCTCTCGGCGCCCGTCAACCTCGCTGCCCTTATTTTACCTCCTCCCATGGCCGCTAGGACGATTGGGGCGACTAGTTTACTCGCAAGGTCTATGCTTAGATCTCCATTTCACTTGATTATTAGGGCCTAGCTAGCTACTAGTAGATTGATTAGTGCCGCGTGCGTGCAACCTTCCAAAGGCGTGAGCGTGACCACAATGGCACCGAGACGAAGCACTCGATTAACAAGTGCCGCCTGCCCGTCACCAATTATTTGCCGCACTTTTGTTGGGTTCCGCGGTTTCGTGACCGGAGCATCCGATACATGTTGGCGAACTCGCCAAATACTACGAGCGAGAGGAGAGAGGCATGGGACCGTGCACACTTGTTTAATCTTGTGAGAGTGGTGGCGGTGGACCAGCACAAAAGGAGGCAGAGTGTATTCAGTATTCACCTCAGTGAGATCCATTTTTCTGGAGATACAAGCCTGGTGGTCTCGCAAGAGAATAAATCCATGCTCGCACATACACATTTCTCAAACCTGTTGGGGACAACAACCACAAGAACAAGAGCTATTAATTGGAGCGAGTTGGGATATGAACATCATGATCTAGAGGATTTGGACGCGCCATTCATAGAACAAGAGATAGAGGCTGTAGTGAAAAACATGCCTTCTGAAAAGGCACCGGGTCCGGACGGCTTTATTGGTGTGTTTTACAAAAAATGCTGGTCAATTATAAAAGAGGACTTGGTCCAGGCGGTCATGAGTTTTTACAATCACCGGAC